TCAAAGAGATGAAGGAAAATGGCAACACCCTCTTTAAGTCTGGTCGTTTCCGTGAGGCACAAACTGTATACACAGATGCACTAAAGATAGATGAGCTGAACAAGGACATAAATTCGAAACTTTTATACAATCGTGCATTGGTAAACTCGAAAATCGGTGCATTGCGTGATGCTATCGCTGATTGCACAAGAGTTTTGGATATCAATTCACAATATCTGAAAGCTTTGCTTTTACGTGCGCGCTGCTATAATGACCTAGAGAAATTCGAAGAGTGCGTGAATGACTACGAAACTGCTTTGCAGTTTCAAAAAACTCCCGAAATCAAGAAACTATTGCGCGATGCAAAACTTGCACTCAAGAAGTCGAAGCGTAAAGATTACTACAAGATCCTTGGTATTTCTCGCAACGCAACCGAAGACGAAATAAAGAAGGCATACCGAAAGAAGGCATTAGTGCACCATCCGGACCGGCATGCTAATAGTAGTGCTGAAGAACGCAAAGAAGAGGAACTGAAATTCAAAGAAATTGGGGAGGCCTATGCGATTTTGTCAGATCAACGGAAAAAAATGCGTTATGATAGCGGTCAAGATATAGAGGATCAAGAGCAAGGTAAGTATAAGTAACAAGAGCCAGCGAATACAAGCAAAGACTTATTTCAAGTCCATAACAATTAGTTAAAATAGCTCATTAAATAGTAGATAAAAATTTCAAGAGTGAATTTACCGCTAATTTGAAATTAAAATGTGTAAAAGTCGTGTTAACCTCAAGGAACTAAATAAATTTATATGCAAACTGACAAAAATACACAAGATCATTTTAAGCTAAAACATCAAAATACTTTAAGTTATCAAGCGGTTTAATTTTCACTTTCACCCGCAGTCATATTAACGAACATTATGCAAGTTTCATATAATCCAGACTAGGGAGACATTGGTTGCAAAGAAGCACTTTTACACGTATGAATCGAAGCGACAGAAAAACTAATACAACTAACTAAATGATTTTATTGAAGTGAAATTTCTTAAGCTAAGCTTAAGCTGAAGGTGGTTGTTGTTGTTGTTGTTGTTGTAACAGCACACGAAAAAGAAAACGAAAGTCTGTATTCAATGCCTCCTTGTTAGAGACAAAGACAAGGATGTACACAGAAACAAAGATAATGATAAATATAGGGATAACGACAGACATAAAGACAAACGCGAAGGCGTACTCAAAGGCAATCCACAAATAAAAGACAAATATAAAAATATGTATGACAAAAATTAGGATTGAGTTCAAGGAGTAAATGGAGGCAAAGATGAACTTTAAAATAAGAGATGGAGGTGAAAATTAGATATTAAGGTGGGGATGAAGATGGAGGATAAAGATACAGATAAAGACAAAGACAGATAAAGATAAAGATTAAGAAATGACATAGACATAGGTAAAGATAAGGATAAAGATTAGCAAATTGTTATAAACAAGGGGATTAAAAATAAAGCTTGCGCAAATATTGCGCAACCAAATATAATAGAATATTTATTGCAAATTTCTTTGCTGGAATTTTTTCCTATGAAAGTTCACTTCTTCCGAGCATAGGGACTGTAGTCGGGTCTACGTAACCGGAACGACCCAGATTTATATCTGGCCAAGGACTTTTACTCCAGCAACACTTCCCAAAAACTCTTTGAGGAATTTGTATCTGTTGCAAGAACAACAGCACGCACTCAGTTTTTCTTAAAAATTTATTGGCCAATCATTCCTTCCTTACCTGGCGTTCTGCACGTAAAACTAAATGTTGTTTTTTTTTACAGATTTGGATCCAAATCAAATGTTCCGGCATTTCTTCCAATTTAGCAGTGGAACAGGACCCGGGGCATCATTCGGATTTGAATTTTAAATTTTGCATGGACACCTCACATCACAACCACAATCTTTTTCGTAGGATATTTGTCAACAAAGCAAGCGGCGGAGATACATTTGTGCAAAAGTTAAAAATGAAACCAAAACCAAATTGTTACCGTTGCTTGTCTTGTCGCAAATTCGAAGGAAATTTAAAACAAAAATAAAATTACCAACGTTTTATGTATTTTTATTTAAATATATATTGAGTATTACAAGGGTTTTGCAATAGCGGTTATCGAGAGAGCGAACCGAATTAAATTCTAGTTCATTGTAGAATTCCAGCTATTATAACTAAGCACAATTCATATTCCGATGGAAACAAGAGTTATAGAAAATTTTTGTAACAAAAATTGTGGACGGTAAATTAAAAGCAGTAATACTGGATACTTAACAACCAAAATACAGTAAAGCATTTTTGATTCCCAATTTAAACATATACAATTTCAATTTATGTATGTGAATGTCTACTTGTTTATAATGTCAATAAAAGAGTACATCGATGGACTTCAATGGGAATGTGTGTGTGTACTCTGTGTATGATGGTGGTGGTCGGGTATTTTTACCTCCCAACGTTAATGAACAGACTGTTACAATTGTAAATTCAAATTTAATTTAATTTTTAATTTGTATTAAATAATATTATACATTCAAACAAGAGTTTTTATAATCTTACTAGACTTATTCCGCGACTTTGCCCGCTGCAAACGTTGAGCCAAATTTTAACAGTAAAGCAAAGATCAAATTTCACAAGAAAGTTAGCTTGCACATCTTGCTGAGTATATTCATCTGGGTCGGATTATAGCATGGGCCGTCAGGCCCGCGGTTCAGGAATTCCACATTAATTTTACTCATTTTGATTCATTTTGTCCTGGATACGACATGAAACTCGGCAACATGAGACAAGGGCACGCAATTTATTTGCCATCGCCTATATGCGAAGAACGCATACCTTTGATGGAACAACGGTTCAGCGCACATTCCATACTGTGCACATTTACTGAATTTGATCGCAAAGCACCCGCCTCAAGGCAGTCTTCGACAATGCAATATGAAATTTTGATTACTAAAGTGTCAGCCTTGGAAACATTTAGTCTCAAAAATGTATGGCATATCCGTCAAGTCCCGCTGATGCTACAAAAGCTTAATTTTAACATTTTCAGGTATCTTAAACTTTTAAAATCAGAGAATCGTTAATTTGAAAAATTAGGAAAATATCTGCGACAGATATCCTGCATGCTGCCATCTTTTTTAATTTGGTGGCACACTCTTGAAACTTCACAGATATTTTGCGTTTGATGCCAACTTTCATTACCTCTAATTTGAAAACGTCCCGAAATTAAAAAAAAAACAGTTATTATTTTTTCGGGTTGCAATAAAAAATTAGTATTAAGCTCTACTCAGAATTACAGTGGACGACGGTAAAGCGGTCGGCTGTTCACTTACCGCAGTGAAATCGGTCAGAGTACACACAATTGCGGCTGATAACGGCTTCCGTTAACTGTCATTTTGATTTGGGAATTTTCATTAAAATATTTTTATTTGTTTGGTACGTGCGTGTGTGTATATTTGCTGGAAATAAATTGTCTGTTCCAATAGCAGTCCGGTTTAAAGGATTTAGTCAGAACTTACAGGAAGTCGTTCCTATTGACATAAAACCTGTAAGGGGGAACACTTTTGATAGAGTAACTGAGCAAGTGTTTCTAGTCAGAAGTTACAGGATTTAGTCCGCAGTTTTTTTTTTTTCTGTAAGGTCATGAAAAGTGTCAAACGATCAGCTGATTTCCACGTGGAAACAAAAACCGAAAGCGGTGAAAGCAAAGAACCTCATATTTGTAAAAAAAATGGAGGTAAACAACGAACTGTTTGAATATGTATAGATTTTAATAATTATTTAGTGATATTTCAGCCAAATCAGGGGCTCTATTCTGTAACTTGACTTGAGAGAGTAAAATTGTAGTTTGACATTTCCACAGGTTTTAGTCCGAAGTTCAAAGGAACGGACTAAGTAATGGTTAAAAGCATTTGCAAACTTGTGAAAATAATAGAAATTGTTACAATCAACAATGTGCCGCCCTCGCTGGGCGGTAAAAATGTTGCTACCGCAATTATGTGCCATTCCATATGTCTTCGTGAGTTTTGATTTTGACAGCGGTTAACCGTCGACCGCTTTACCGTCGCCCGCTGCAATTCTGGATAGAGAAGAGAATTCTTGAAAATCAATATTTTTCGATCGGAAAACTCTGGTTCTCTTCAGGATACTTTCAATAATACCCAATTGTTTATTTAACCATTTTTTAATACTAACGATTTTTTTATTGGTCGCCCCACTGCATTTTTCGGGGTTTTTGTGGGTTTTTGGTTAAATAAACAATTGGTTATTATTATTGGGAATCTCCTGCAGATAAATAGGGTTTTCTGGTAGAAAAAATATTGATTTTTAACTATTCTGTAGCATTTTCCCATATAAAATATATGGAAAACTTTGAGCCACCTCTAAATATTTTTTGATTTCAAAATAAAAAAAAATAAAGGGAAATNTAAACAATTGGTTATTATTATTGGGAATCTCCTGCAGATAAATAGGGTTTTCTGGTAGAAAAAATATTGATTTTTAACTATTCTGTAGCATTTTCCCATATAAAATATATGGAAAACTTTGAGCCACCTCTAAATATTTTTTGATTTCAAAATAAAAAAAAATAAAGGGAAATAGAAAATTCGATACTCAACGAAAATTTCGACATGGTTGCATAGCTCATAATACGAATTTCACTTTCGATCTTCGATAACCCGGGGCCAATTTAAATTGAAAATGCAAGTAAATGCGTTCAAACGACTTTATAACAACTTTAAAGTTCGTATTCAGATGGCGAAAACAGTTAGTTATGAGTTAGTTTCTCTTTCAAATATGGGAAATATGACACATCTTTAACGAGTGGTGTCCTTCGCTACGTACCACAAAGTTAGCTCCAAATAAAACAATATGCAATTCTCGACACGAATAGACCGTAGGTACACATTTATTATTTTCCTTTAGATTTTTGTATTTAAACTTTGTTTTTGGTTTTACAATTCTTGCCAGTAATTATTTTTCTAAAAATCTTTCTAACTAGTACGTACGTATCAAAATAAAACTTAAAAACTCTTACATCTAAGTCCAGTTAAACAAGGTACAATATAACATTTTATCTTTTATATTTTGTGGTTGCTTTTATGTCTTATACTCATATGTTTTGTTTTTGTGGTTCCTGTAGTTTTGTTCAAAGGAATGTCCTCCTTGCGTAGGTGCATATTTCCTAAGGAACGAGCTTTACGTTATTTTATAAAATTTTATACCGGATTTATCGTTGGATTTCGTAGACATTTATAAATTCCAATCACCTTAGCGACAACGTATGTATGTACTTATGTACATATACTATAATTTCTTACGATACGGTCATTCAAGCATAGAGTACTCATACATAAATTGAATTATAATAGACATACATACATACATACATTGCACGTATAATTTATGTATGTATGAATATGTACATACTTATATGTGTACATATGTATGTATATGATAAAACGCATAACTTATAACTAGGGAAGACAAAAATATGCACAAAAAACTTTATTATATCGATCATTAAAATGACTCCGAAATATTAAAAATATGCTTGATATATGCCCCAAAAATGTATATGTATAACCAAATTTTTTTTTGATTAACACATATAAAATGTATTCAACAAAGTGTGATTGAATTTGACATTGCTCTCAGAAGAACCGTCCTATAAAGTCAAATTGGGAAAATTTTTTATGAATTTTGAATCGGTTGTTTATATTTTTTGGCATAACAGTATCTTAAAAGAGAGCCGACCAGAGTTGTCAGTCACACCTTGTTTAATACACCTTTCTTACATATACATATGTATGTATTGAAAATGAACGCTCTACGTCACAATACTTTGTTGGACAGAATTTAAAAGATGACAATTCTCCAGGTGAAAATATTGCAACATTTTATTGAATACACAGAATAAAATTCCCTGCTCAGTGCGCAACACACTGTGAAACTGTTGAAACAGCTTTCGCTAAAAACGAAACATTTTTATTGAATTTTTCAACTACCAAAAAAGCATATTAAAATTGTTTACTAGAAAATAAGGGGACTTTCCGTTGTTTGTCAGCTTTTTCTTTTTGTCAATTAAACAAACCTCGCCAGCAACCCTGGCTATCTCCGCAAATGTATTGTCCGGTGAAATTATGCGAAAATTAATTAACTTATTAGCAAAATAATATTTTTTTTTTGTTGCATTTTTATGCCTTTTCGGCCAAAATATGCATTTTGTGTCCATAATATGCATTTGTATATTTTTGTCTTCCCTATTTATAACACAAATCTGTGACTGATATTGTTTTACGGTTCATTGATGAGCTTTGTTTGTACGACTGTGTGCACATGTAGTCTATCATAATATACAACAAATTTATAATACATTTATGCACATACATACATATGTATGTATGTGTATGCTTGCAGACATTTTCACACCTTTAGTTTGGGTATCATTTCGTTTCGTGTATTGTAAAAACTCCTTAAATATATATGAAGTGTATATTCTCAGTAAAAATATATATATCAATAGTTACACCATAGAAAAAATATATAATAAACGTACAAAACCATAACTGTTGAAATTCCTAATTTTAAACACAGTTGAATTCTCTAGTTCTACTTATCCAATAGGTTTCTCTGTTTAAAGTAGAGTTACTTAATTATATATATATGTATGTATGTACAATGTATATTTGTTTTAGACAAAGGTATAATACATAAAAAGACGACGTGTCAAATAAGCGAGGTACATAATTCTTTGAATTTATTTTTTAATTGATTCGGCTCTTTTTCGTTGACTTTATTCTTTATTATTTGACTTTGTTTTATGTATTCACAATGCATGTCCATGTGTACATATGTACATATGTATGTATGTATGTGAATATTTGATTTTAATATATTGATTACTTGCACTGTATTTGTATCTGGACAACTTTGTCTGAGAAATAAGTGGCATGAAATTGTTCCACTGTATTCATAAAAAATAATGTACATACATTTCACAGGCTTTATAAAGTGACATTTTCGTACAACAATTTTCGAATTATAAAGCACTTATTTATTTTTTATGAATTTAGGCGTTCATTTGCATACATATGTATGTATAAATATTTATGTAAGAATTACAGCTATTGGCAAATAAAAGTACAACTCCTGTAAACTAAATTACTGCGATTCTTCAGAAACGAAGCCATGAATTCCTTGTTTGCTAAAGCGAGGTATGAGTTGACTTTAATTTTAGTATGTCCATAAATTTAAAGTTCTTGGAATATATATCGAAGGCTCACATACATATATAGTCAATACCCTCTTATCTGCAATTTTCACAAAAATAAGTCTGATAAATAAAATCCACCTAAAGGGCTGACTATAATCTATGAATAAGCAAGTGTATGCAAAC